GTGGGCAGTCTGCAGCTTGTCTTCAACATTAGGGGTGTTCCAGAATATAAATGCATTATTCCGAACGCAACAGATAATAAGCTTCTCCCAATATTTGGTCTGTATGAATATTTCCCCAATAATTTTGTGTTTGGATTTTGTTCATTCCTTTTTTTCCCATATTGTCCCATTGCATTTCCAAAGTTAAAACTTGCTTTGTCCTTAACTTTGCATAAGCAAGCAGGTATAGGTTGGAATTTTTCAGCTGGTCTGTGGCTAGAGCCAGAGAGGGAGAGTCACGTAAGGAAATGGGTGATAGAGAGACAGTGAGAGTAAGAGGTCAGAGTGGTAGAGAAAGAGAGAGAAGGTGAGCTTGGATATTATAATTTATCTGTAGTTAACATGGTGCATATTAATATTGTTCCTGTATTTCCATCACATGGGTCCATCGGCAGCTACGTCTTTGCTAGCATCACATCTATGCTAGCATTTATAAAATACTGCAGTGTTAACTACAGCGGATATAAAAAGTGTACATACCCCTGTTAAAATGCCTGGTATTTATGATGTAAAAAACCAATGAGACCAGGATAAATCATTTATGTGTTTTATGTATAACCTGTAAAATTCAATTGGAAAAAAAACATAAATCTGTGAAGAGGAAATTTTTAAAACATGTACTGTTACGCTGGCAAGCAGGCGAGCGGGGAAGCAGGCGAGTCAAGCCGGTAATGCGGGCAAACGGGGTTTATTTAGACATCCACTGGGCAGCGACAGACAAACATCACACCACAATGACAGATCTGGGGAATACTGACTTAGACGCAGACTAAATACACAAGACAGGCTGAACTTAACAAGCAACAGGTGATTACAATCAGGTATGAACACGAGGTAACAAGGGAGGCGTGGCACACACGAGGATCGTACGAGCCGGGCGTGACAATAAGCTGGTTGCATAAGTGTGCACCCCCATAAATTAATATTTTGTGTAAGCATCTTTTGGTTTAATTACAGTGTTCAGTCTTTTTGGATACACACCTGCTGTCAATTAAAGTGACTCTGATTAACCCCAGCTGTCCTACTAGGAATTTCCTGACATTTACTCCTACAGCAAAAGCCATGCTCTGCACAGAGCTTGCAAAGCATCAAAAGGATATCATTGTTAAACGATAACAGTCAGGAGAAGGGTACAAAAAAATTCCACGGCATTAGATATACCATGGAACACAGTGAAGACAGTCATCATGAAGTGGAGAAAATATGGGACAACGGTGATGTTACCGAGAACTGGACGTCCCTCCAAAATTGATGAAAAGACAAGGTGAAAACTGGTCAGGGAGGCTGCCAAGGGGCCTACAGCAACACTGAAGGAGCTGCAGAAATTTCTGGCAAGTACTGGTTGGGTACTACATGTGTCAACAATCTCCCGTATTCTCCATATGCCCAAGGTTGAACTTTTTGGCCACTGTGCCACAAGTTATGCTTGACGCAAAAACAACACTGCGCATCACCAAAAGAACACCATACCCACAGTGAAATGTGGTGGCAGCATCATGCTCTGGGGTTGTTTTTCCTCTGCTGGAACTGGGGCTTTAGTCAAGGTGGAGGGAATTATGAACGTTTACAAATACCAGTCAGTTTTGGGCCAAAACCTATGGATGTCTACTAGAAAGCTGAAAATCAAGAGGAATTTCACCTTTCTGTGCAACAATGACCCCAAGCATACATCCAAATCAACAAAAGAAGGTTGAAGAACAAAAAATTTTTTGAGTGGCCCAGCCAGAGCCCAAACCTAAATTCAATTCAAAATTTATGGGGTGACCTGAAGGGGTGAGTGCACAAGAGATGCCCTCACAATCCGACAGAGTGCTTTTGCAAAGAAAAGTTGGCAATTATTGCTAAGTTAAGATGTGGCATGCTGATAGACTCCTACCCAGAAAGACTGAATGCTGGAATTAAATTAAAAGGCGCTTCAACAAAGTATTTGTTTAAGGTTGTGTACACTTATGGAACCAGCTTATTATATGATTTTATTTTTTATATTTTCCCCTAACAGATTTGTTTGTTTTTTTGATTGAATTGTACAGGATATAGGTTACATTAAAGGTGGGAGAAGTTTTGAAATGATTTGTCGTGGTGTCTTTTTTTTACATCACAAAAACCTGGGATTTTAACAGGGCTGTGTACAGTTTTTAAATCCACTATGATATCTGCTTACATTTGAGTCCATCCATCCATCCATCCATCCATTAACATCTGCTTATCTGGGGTTTGGGTCACGGGGGTAGCAACTTCAGGAGAGATACCCAGACCTCCCTCTCCCCAGCTAATGTTACCAGCTCTTTGAGGCGTTCCCAGGCCAACCGAAAGATATAATCCCTCCATGCGTGTCCTGGGTCTGCCCCGGGGTCTCCTCCCTGTAGGACATGCACGGAACACCTCTCCAGGTAGCCACCCATGAAGTATCTGCACCAGATGTCCAAACCACCTCAACTGGCTCTTTTCAACGTGGAGAAGCAGCGGTTCTACTCTGAGGCCCTCCCGGATATCCGAATTTCTCACCCTATCTCTAAGGGAGAGCCCACATACCCTGCAGAGAAACCTTATTTCGGCCCCCTGTATCCGCAATCTCATTCTTTCGGTCATTACCCATAGCTAATGACCATAGGTGAGGGTAGGGACAAAGATGGACCAGTAGAGTGAGAGCTTTGCTTTCCGGCTCAGTTCTTTCTTAGCCACGACAAACCGGTTAAGCGCCTGCAAAACTGCAGACGCTGCTCCGATCCGTCTGTCCAGCTCTCAATCTCGCCTACCCTCACTTTTGAACGAGACCCCGAGATACTTGAACTCCTCCACTTGAGGCAGTACCTCCTCCCTGACCTGAAGAGGGCAATCCACCCATTTCCAGCTGAGAACCATGGTCTTGGACTTGGAGGTGCTAATCCTCATCCCTGCTGCTTCGCACTCGGCTGTGAACCACCCCAGACCACACTGGAGATCCCCAGCAGATAAAGCCAACAGGACGACATCATCCGCAAAAAGCAGCCAGGCAATACTGAGGCCACCAAACTGGACACCCTCAACACCCTGGCTGCACCTAGAAATCCTGTCCATAAATATAAACAGGACCGATGACAAAGGGCAGCCCTGGCGGAACCCAACCCGCACTGGGAACTCGTTCGACTTATTATCGGCAATGCAGACCAAGCTTCTGCCCCGTTCATACAGGGACCGAATCGGCCACAGTAGTGGCCCCTGAACCCCATACTCCTGAAGCACCCTGGTCTGCCGATCCAACGGCACTGTCCCTGACCTCCACGCGTTGTTGAGAAGGTGTGTCAGCCATGACAGCCCCACAACATCCAGAGCCTTTAGGTACTCTGGGCGAAATTCGTCCATCCCTGAGGTTCGGCCACCACATAGCTCTTTAACCACCCTGGCCACCTCAGCCCCAGTGATGAGCAAGTCCACTCTAGCCCCCTCGGGCTCTGTGTCCTTAGATGTCTCAAAGGCAGTGTGCGTAGATGTATCTGAGGCAGGGACAGCCCTCTTGTTCACCGGGGTAAACTCCGTTGTTAATGTACCAAGCTGTGGGGCCACCAGTAGCCCCACCCCAGCCAGGTGTCGCTCACTAGCCGCATTACCATAAGAAAATAGCATCCAGCCCCTCTCCTGGAGATTGGTTCCAGAACCCACACCATGCATTGAGGTGAGCCCGACTATATCTAGCCGGTTTCTCTCAACCTTCAAACCTTCAAAGTTCAGGCTCCTTCCCCACCAGAGAGGTGACATTCCATGTCTCAAAAGCTAGTTTTGTCAGCCGGGGATCGGTTCGCCCGGGCCTCCCTTGGTCGCCACCCGATCCACAATGCACCGAACCCCTGACATTCCCCTTGTGGGTGGTGGGCCCACTTGGGGACGGTCCTGCGTACCTCTTCCAAGCTGGGCCCAGCCAGGCCCGTCGGGCCAAGGCCTAGCCACCAGGCGCTTGCTAACGGGCCCCTCCCCCAGGCCTGGCTTCAGGGTGGGGCCCCAGTGATCCTAGTACGAGTGAGGGAAACGAGACCTTGCTATTATTCTTTCTCATTTTTGGATTGCTCTTTGTCTGGCCCCTCACCTGGGACCTTTTTGCCTTGGAAAAAAGACCCTAACAGAGGCTATTGCCCACGACAACATAGCCCCCAGGGTCACTGAGGCATGCAAACCCCTCCACCACGATAACGTGGCAATCGAAGCAGGGACCTTTGAGTCTGTTGTGGTAAAATGTTTCTAAGTATTAAATAGCATCAACAGTGAATTTAAGATGTAGGCAATATTGATTTTCAAAGCATCTGTTTTCTCAATGCATTTGTATCATATCCCTAAATGTGTGTATGTGGGCGCATTCTCTTAATTCACATTGGTTTGAGCTGTCTCAGCCACCATAACCCTTAAACAAAAATAGAGAATGAGAAAATGAAGGAGAGGATGCATGCAGTCTGCCTTTTAGTTCTGCAGATGCTACAAAACCTAAAAAAACATGCATTAGAGAACTTCACTGTCAGCACTACCAGTTATGGTGATGTGCAACATATGCAAATGTGCAGTCAGCAGGGACAGTGATGCAAAACATTTCTCAATCTCTGGCATGCAAAATCGCTTGTTATTTTAAATGCAGAACACTTTTCACTAAACAAAACACCAAAAGTGCATCAACCATTATACAGCCATGTGCTGGTCTGTCTTCTTGCCTCTTCAGCTTCATCTCTTAGTCGGCTTGAATATCAAAGCACCATGTCCACCAATCACCCTACTGCAGAGGAAATCACCAGTGCCATAGCAGAGATGATTTGTTGCCTTTTCTAGTACTGAATAAGAGCTTCCTCAGGCTGCTCTGTATTGTTTCATCATACTACATGTCCATACTGTTGGCCCTCAGCTTTTCCAGTAGGTTAAAACCAAGGTCAGGGAATCCCTTTTAAACATAGAAGGGCGTTTTGTGCATTGATCATCAGGTATTTGCACAAGTAAGTGTTCCTTCTCCCTATGCAGTATGGAAAAGTATGAAAAAGAATGGAATTTGATTTAGTTTTTTCCCCAAATATGCATAAGCATGGAAAAAGTAAGTTGTTTTAAAATATTTCAGTGTTTCCAGGCCACTCTGACAAACACAAATTAACATCATTAAACTGTACAATAGATGGGCACAACGTACTGAATACATTGAACTGATATGTCTAGTTACATACTGTAAGTTAGTGTAGTTTACAGTGGGAGAGTTGTTTAGTTAACACTTGCGTGCTTGGAGGAACCATGGAGATATTTCTAACTTCAAAACCTTTGATGATGTGTATCTGGAATACAGTTTTACTCCCTTATTATCAGTAGAAAGGTGTGGTTGGTGCATGTACCCTGGTGTCAATATTTGCATTCGTGTGGGAGGAATCGGGACAAATATTCTGTATATTGCCCAATTTTCTCATATTGAAAAATAAAACGCTAAAGCAGAATTTAAGATTGGCTTAACTGTTCTCCTGTAGCTCAGCAGATAGAGCATTGCGCTAACAAGCAAGATTTTGGGGGTTCAAATTCCATGAACCACACATGAACTGTACCTTTTTCCTCTATTGTAAGCCTTTTTGGATAAAATCATCAGTTAAATATAAATGACTGTTCTGTGGCCCCTCCAGACCTCTGTATATGGTATTAATGACCCCCCTATGGCTGATATTTTTGTCCTGATAGAAAAAAATCTACTTGGACTAGTTGGTATATTTAATATGCATGTGAGGTGCCCGTCTAAGAGTTCAGTAGCTTATCCACTGCTCTGGGGAAAAAGCTGTTTTGTAAATGATTTGTCCAGGTCTTGACCCTGAACCTGCCTGAGGTGAGGATGGTAAACAGCTGGTGCCCAGGGTATGAGGGATCTCTACTGATGTTTCTTGCGCATCTGAGGAGATGATTAGAATGAGTGTCCTTCATGTGATAATCCACTGAGCAGCCTTTACTGGCTACTGGAGATTCTTCTTTTCCTCTTCAGTGCAGCTCGAATACCACACTGTGCAGCCATACATCAGGGCCCTCTTAATTGGCCAGTGATAAAAGTTTTTCTGGAGTTCTTGGGGGAGGGGGACCACGTGACGCTCAGTGGTGCATGGCGCGTTTCAGTCTCGCTCCCCGAGTCCTACCACCGGTTTCCCGTTTTTTTGAATGTCAATCAGGCACTTTTATTTTGGTTTACTTTGCTGAACTCATCCGCATAACTTTACTGCTATTATGGATCACTCTGGGCGCAGAACACCTCCTCAATCTTCGACCGCCAGTCCGGCAAAGAAAGCACAGAAAAATTGGCGTGCTGGCAACATGGCGGACAGCGCTGGTGCGCTGAGTTCGGATGTTTGCGGGCTAAAAGAGTTTGTTAAGAAGCAGATCGAGTCTCTCCATGCGAACCTGGCGTCCTCCTTCCAGAGGAATTTTACCAAACTGAGGGCTGATGTCGGCGATCTGAAGGTGGAGCAGCAAAAGCTCGGTAAATCTTTTGAGTTGTTTCAAGGCCAAGTCCAGAAACACGAAATTGAACTGGGGTCGCTTCGCAGCGAAGTTGGCCTCCTTTGTAATAAGCTTGCTGAGCAAGAGGATAGGGAGCGGAGAAATAATATCAGGATCGTCGGGGTTCCGGAAGACGTGGAGAAGGGCAACTTACTGCGGTTTTTGGATCTTCAATGGCCGAACTGGTTTCCCGGTGTTGCCAACTTCAGTCATGAAGTGATGAGGGCTCATCGTGTGTCTGCCGGCAGTGGCAATGGTTTGCGCCCGCGCCCCATTGTTCTGAATCTTCTATGCTACACCAAGCGGCAGATTATACTGCAGGTGGCTCTGAGATCGCCGGTTCGTTTCGAGAGACGGAAAATCCTCTTTTTCGCAGTTTACAGTGCCCAGACGGCCCGAACTCGCAAGGCTATGTCCCCCGTTCTGAAGAAGGCTTGGGAAGCTGGTGTTCCTGCTTTTCTGTTGTAAGGTTCGCCTTTCTTTTGCGGGTAACCAGCGTTTTTTTACCGACCCGGAAGAAGCTATTCAGGTAGTCGGCGCTTTTACCTCCACCGGGACCTGGCCAATTTAATGTGTTTATTCGGTCTGTTTTATTGTTTGCATGTTATTATATTGCGGTCACACTGTGCGTGTGGAGTATATAAATCGGGTGCTTTTCTGTTAACGATTTTGTGTCTGTTCTATAGTAGGTTTTGCTTTGTAGGCGGCGGGCTTGAGTACACGCATGCCTTATCCCCTACATGTCACGCGCTGGTTTTTGACCATGCGCTGTTCTGCGGAGACGGAGGGGATGAGGGGGAGGGGGGTATTAGTGCGGTTGTTTTGCCTTAGGGTTCGCGCCCTTTGGCTCATTGGGTGATGGTATTCTGTCTTATGGGGTGTTAGGGGTTTGTATTACCGAAGCTTATTTGTTTATGGGTTGTCTGTTTTCACTAATTCCTTCTCTAAAGATGTGCTACTCTATTGGCATCTCCCTCCTTGTCTTTCTCTCTCCTATATTGTGCTGTGGATCTACGTCTTTTATAGCTGCTGATGGCTAACTTAGTTATGGCTACCTGGAACGTGAGGACGCTTTCGACCCCTCAGAAGCGCTCTAGTGTCACAGACCTTTTGTTTAGGAATAGGGTGGACTTTGCTTTTTTGCAGGAGACACATTTGGAGTCTAAGGACGTGCGGCGTGCCGCTTCCAGGCATTACGCTGTGGTGGCTGCCTCTTCCGCGTCTTCCCGCCGGAGTGGTGTCATGATACTCATCCGCCGTTCATTTAAAGTTAAGATCCTGGGCAGTGGGGGTGATGATGGTGGCAGGTATTGTTATGTGTTGTTTGAGCTGGCTGGGAGAAAACTGGCCTGCTTTTCACTTTACGCACCTATATAACGAGTAAAATTATGTCCTTTTCTGACCACAAATTGATAATCAGTATGGATGCTAATGCGTTTCTTGACCCTGTTTTAGATAAATCACCTCCTCTGGTTGGCCGGCGTGCTCCCACATCATCTCGTGCCTTGTCTAATCTCGTAGCTGATCTTAATTTACTGGACTCATTTCGCCTTCTTAACCCCTCTGCTTGGGATTTTTCTTTCTTTTCCTCCTGCCACAAGACACTGTCTAGAATTGATTACCTTTTTATATCTAAATCTTTAGCGTCTTTCTGTCTCAACCCCTCTATGGCATCTTCCTCACTATCTGACCACAGGTGCGTTCAACTTAGGTTTTACCTGCCATCTGTAGTATCGAAGGCTCCTCGCTGGCGGTTTAACCTTTCCCTTTTGCAGAACACTACATTTGTGCAGCGGTTGGCGGTGAACCTAGAAGAGTTTATATCATGGAATGAAGAGTCTGTGCAGGACCCTGGCTATGTCTGGATGGCTATAAAAGGTTTCATTCGGGATTTCACTATTTCTTTTACTTCTCACCTTGTGCGTACGGTGCGCCATGGAATTACTGATTTGGAGACACATTTGAATAGTTTGGAGTCCATGCGTTCTCAGCATTTAGACCAAGTGCAGGCCGACCTCAATGGTTTGCTTTTGCGTAAGGCTGAATTTCTTGTATGTCACACTAGGACACGGTATTACGCTAGTGGAGCTAAGCCTGGTAAGTTGTTGGCGCTTAGGCTCCGCCAGTGTGACACTTTTCAAGTGTAAAATTCAAGGATGGAGCTGTAACCACCAACCCTTCTGAAATTAATCACCGTTTTCTTGATTTCTATAAGGATCTCTACTTATCCGACAGCCCTCCATCTCAGACAGCCCTCCATCTCAGACAGCCCTGGACTCGCCTTTTTCCCTGGCTTCTCTCCCTATACTTGCTCAGCAGGATGCCTTACTACTGGAAGCCCCCATTACAGTTTGTGAGCTCACTGAGGCCCTTAAGTCATTTTCTAAGAATAAAGCTCCTGGGATGGATGGTATTCAAGCTGAGGTGCTGCTCACCTTCTGGGCACAGTTAGCCTCCCCTCTGTTTCGTATGCTGTCCTCCGCCATACGCTTCTCTCAGCTCCACCCCGCTTTAAATTCTGTGATAATCTCTTTGCTTTTAAAACAGGGCAAAGACTCTGCTGATTGTTCCAGCTACCGTCCCCTATCTTTAATGAACTCTGACGTGAAGCTGTTGGCTAAGGTACTGGCTCGCTGCCTTCAGTCAGTGATAGCTAAGATTGTACATCCCGATCAGACTGGTTTTATTTCAGCTCGCTACGCAGCCGACAATATGCGTCGTCTTCTGCATATTGTTAATAATGATTATTCTTCCGCTCCTCCCACTGCGCTTTTCTCATTGGATGCCAAGAAGGCCTTTGACAGGCTTAATTGGAGTTTCCTCTGGGAAATTTTAATGGCCATGGGCTTTGGGCCTTCCTTTATTGGCATGGTAAAAACCTTATATTCTTGTCCGACTGCCTGTCTACTTACCAATAATACCATTTCCCGGCCATTCTGTATCTGACGGGGTGCCCGTCAGGGTTGCCCACTGTCCCCCCTCCTCTTCATTCTGTCTTTAGAGCCTTTGGCGGCTGCCATACGTTCCTCAGTTTCC